TGACATTCTGGACTACCATTTCGGAGACCTATCAGACTCTATCTTTGTGACCTATCGGTGTGATCTACCTCCCACCTCCTTCGTCTCTCCTCCCACCTTTCATCTGTGCATATGTGTACGGGATCTGGGTATCGTCTATGAATGACCCAGACCCCACCATCTCATGATTGTATGTGTGTGGAGTGATGCCATGTAAGTCAGTTGGTGTGAGTCAGTCTATGTGAGTCAGTTCGTTATCAGACTTCCGCTGCATAAATGCTCATCCTATATTGGTTGATCTTTGGTTCTGCCCATACTCATTGAAGTATGTAACAATGAGGTTAGTTTCTGTTGAAGCAAAGTAACAATAGGTGGACTGCTCTGCAGCCACAGTAGAGTGTCTAGAGCAAGGAAGGAAGAATGCATGTGTGCATACACGACGACTTGCTACAGTCTTCCCCCAAATACAACGTACGGTCATTAAAGCTGAATTTAGACTGAAAGATGCCCCAAATTCAGCTATAATGAACTCTACGGGTCTGTAGCCATTATCGTTGTCCTACTGTAACACGGCGCAATACTGACTCGCGTCTGTGGTGACGACAAATGGCAAAGACGGATCTGCTACTTTGAGGACAGGGTACTGTATCAATGTGCGCTTCAACTTCTTTAGCGCAGACGTGGAGAAGTTCCTCACGAACTTCCTATAGTAGTTAGCTAGGCCAAGGAACGACCGCAACTCTGTCAACGTGCGGGGCGTCGGCCAATCTCTAATCGCCGCTATCTTGCTGTCCTCAGGGTTAATGCCATCTCCGTCTAACACGTGGCCCAAGTACAGGACTTGTGTCTTGGCCCACTCGCACTTTTTTGCATTGATCTTGAAGTTAGCCTCTCTCAGCTTCTCCAAGACCTGCCTCAAATGACCTTGGTGCTCTTGGAGGGTCCTACTGAACACATATCGTCTAAGTACACTACGATGAATCTATCTAACCAAGGCCTAAATAGGTCATTCATACATCGCTGAAATGTAGCTGGCGCATTGGTCAGTCCAAAGGGCATCACTATGAACTCATAATGCCCATATCTAGTCCGGAAAGCAGTCTTGTACTGGTCATCAGGATGGACCTCTATCTGATGATATACGGACTTCAAATCTACCTTTGAGAAATACTTGCAACCCTGCACTCGATCTAAGAGATCGTCTATCCTGGCAGTGGCTCAGCATTCTTAACTATAATCGCATTCAGACCCCTATAGTCTATACACATACATAGCTCTCCTTCTTTCTTAGGGACAAACAAAACTGGTGCTCCAAAAGGAGACGAACTGGGCCTAATCCAACCTTTCTCAATGACTTCATCCAACTACTTGCGCAACTCCTCTAACTCTCTAGGAACATCCTGTAGACTGCTCCCTTAGGAGTTTCACTGCCAGGCTCTATCTCGATTCTGTGTTGGATCGGCCGCGACACTACTCTTGTCGGCGGCTCTGTCAGATCTTTAAACTCTTCCAGCAACTTGGCAATGGCTGGATYCATGGAACTATCCTCTTCCTTAGGCTCAGTGACATGTCTGCCATACACTACGAAGACCTGGTCCTCTAACTGCTCCTTTCTCACTAATCGCGCGAACACGGGAGCACTGAGACAGCAATGTGCCAGCGAGTTATCTACTCCTGACAGATGAAACAAACGGGTTGTCTTAACCTCGCCTGACGGACTAGGGAGCCTACACTCATGCTCTCTCAAGTGGAGTGTGGCCCCTGCTGCCTCTCCCCAGTCCATACCTAGGACTATGTCAAAAGGAAGGTCATCTTGAACGAGGAGAGTTAGGGAATGGAGAACTTTCTCCACCTTCCCATCTTTCTCTAGGCGGAAGTACGCCTGGACTCTCTCTACGTAGTCCTCAACACGCATAGTGCGGTTGTCTGCGAGGACACTAACTATGGGGTCTTCTAACTTTTGGACTTTCAATCCTAGCCTCAGCTTCTTCAGCGCTCTACGACTTATGTAACTACGGGTAGCCCCTAAATCTATAAGGGCCCCAACTCTATTTCTAGAGACTTCTACATCAACTAACACTAGTTGCCCTTTACTATCTTTCTTCATTTTGGCCCAGGCTGGCATCCTCTCCTTCAATTCTTTTGCCACGCCTGTGAGGGAAGTGCCTAGAGACGCTAACACAAGCAGTCTCTGGACAGCTAACTAGGCACGGGCCTGCAACCTCTGTCGAAGGCTCATGTGGCGTGGGAGTTTCCTGTACGCTCACGCTCGCTTCCCCACATGGCCTAGGTGTAGGGGCAGTTGCAACCCCTACCGGCGGCTGCCTTTTGACTCCTGGGAAGCCCATCGGGCCTGTCTATACTTAGGACAATATTTGATAATATGGGCAGGGTCACCACAGTAAATGCACTGCCCCTGCTCCACACGTTGCTGCCAAACTTTCTGGTCCAGGCCCAGATCTTCCCAAGGCCGGCCTTGTGGCCAGCCTGGGTGCCAACCTCCTCTCCTTTGAGGTGATCCTCCACCTCCACGCTGCGGGGACCGACTGGGACCTTGACGATTCGGCGGGGGACCTTGACCCCTACATCCTGCTTGACGGTTCCCTTGACCGCCAATCCCCTGTGCGCCCGATCCTCGGCCTCCCGTGGCCTGGCCTCCTCCTCTGCTTTGCGGCCTCCCTCCAGCCACGACAGCTGCATAGGACCTCCCCTGACCTACGCTACTATCCTCCTCCTCGAGTCCCCACTCAATCTGACTGTAGGGAACTTCATTTGTACCACCTTCATCTACAGTAAGGATCAGGTGATCCTTCGCCCTAACTTGGCCAGAGATGGTACGGCCTTTCCGCTTTTTACCTTTGTCTAAGTCTTTATGCCAGAAAGTGGAAACTGGCATGGACTTGGCCTCAAACAAGACCACTTCCCTACTCAACGCGTCATACGTGATATTGGGCTGTTGAGTCTTGTCAAAGAAGTGCCCTCGCAAGCGCTCTGGCATAGCACGATAGAACAATTGGACCAGCTGGGTCTCTGTGACCCCGTGGTCTGGGACGGCTACCAAGTCGTCCATGACAGCTTTGAGTGCTCACGCACTCCTCCACTCTCGCGAGTGGATGGTTTGGAGTTTGTCAAAGGCCCTGACGCCTCTTGTGATGTCAGCGAACCTCTCACGTAGGAGTTTGATGACCGTGGAGAGAGGAGTAAGTCTAGAGTATGCAATCATGTTATGCTCCCAGTCGGCGGCGCGAGCGAGGGACCTGGCGAAGCTAGCCGCTTCGTCTTTCAACGCATGGAAGGCAACGAGGACCTGCTCCTCGGGGGCGATATGCTGCAAATACACACAAGTATTGACACTGGCCTCCCAGTTGTCAAAGTTATCGTCCTTTTTCCCGCTATAGGCATCATGGAATTTGAGCTTCACATGCTCTTTGCGGGATCGCGCTGTGGCCTCTGCTGTGGCCACCACTTTGGCGCTTTCAATGGCGCCTGCATAGAACGTGTCTACGCCCTCCTTTAGTCTCTTAACCTCGGACCCGACGTGGGTCACTACGTCGCAAGCAGACTCTTTGAAACCAGACCAAATGGCATGAAGGGTCACATCTTGACCCTTATTAGACTGATGCTCCTCTAGCCAGGCCTCACTTAGGATCTCTAGGTACCCCAAAATCTTGTCTAACTTTGCAAGGGTTTCAGCCTGTGTCTGCACCTCCTGCCTGCATGCCCGGACTTTCTCCACTTCTCTCGCCACTCGGTTGGCTTCCTCCCTCCTCTTCTTCTCCCTCATCATCCGCAACTTCCACTCCAACTTCTCTTCTTCTTCTGTCGTCTGACGTTCCAGGGGGTCCTCCATCATTTCCAATACCCTGGCAAACGCTTCTCTCTCCTCTTGCGGCACGTATAGTTGTGCCTCTCCGCCTTCCCCCAACGATAAATTAGCCACCCACTCACTGATCTTTTTCTCCATCCAGGCGTCCTCTCCCTTCGTCTCTCCTCTGTCTCCCCCATGCCTTCTCTCAAGGGGTTCTTCTTCTACCTCCTCCTCTTCTTCTGCTGCTGCTTCTTCCTCGGCAGCCTTCCTCTTCTCTTCCTCTTCCTGCTGCAACATCATCATCTTCTCTTTCTGAAACCTCAACATCTCTTCTTCTAACTTCTTCTTCTTCGCCGCCTGCTCCTCTACGATAGCCTTTAGCTTCACCTGCTTGAGGAGCTCTTTCTTCTCCTTCCTCTCTCTCAAGATGGCGGCGATCCGGGCCTGTTCGGCCTCGGATTAGGGGGCAGTACTCTTCCCACTACGGGTGTCAACCATGGTGTCTGGTGCACAACCGGATAACGGTTTCACTCCTCACCACTTAGACTCTACTCCTCCTGACTGACAAACCTACTGACTCGATCTAAGGACTTACAGAATCCGGACAGGATCCTGTCAACTAAGGTGTCCAGCCTAGACCTACTCTAAGGCTGTCACTACAGGACCTGTTGCTGATCAGGCGGCATTAAAGGAGATCCCTCGTAACTCCTCAAGAATTCTTTAACGTCGCAGACAGGACGACATGATCAGTAGGTCCTCTCAAGACTTAGACGGCCTGTTGTGCAGCCCACATCTCGGATTTTGGGCCTATCGTGCCACACCGAGCAGCCCGCCGGTCAGTACCGGTCCTTGGGAGGTTCGTGTCCTCCGGGACAGTCGAGTCGTCAGACACGGTCTTTAGCTCTACTCAGCTCGTGTGGGTTTGGTGAACAAGGCCCTATCCTTCATCCACAGAGTTCCTATCACCTGGACAGAAGAGACTCAATGCAGAAAGAAGTGACAGACAGACTTGACTCAGCAAGTACCACAGGGTGTGTGCACATCCATAGGGTGAGGGGATAGGCTGAAGGCTTGGCGAGATTATACCGGCTCCAGCTTGGTCGAATTCGTGGTCAACAATCTTGGTCAATGCCTTGGTCAACGCTTGGTCAACGCTGTAGTCAACCCCCGATCAACTCCTCCGGTCAACTCCGGCTATGGCGCCCGGCTTCTTCCTCCTCACCACCCTTCTCCTTCCTTTCTCCCCACCTTGCCTTTTCCTTTTACACCCCACCCCGTCTATCCTTTCTCTCTTTTTTTTTTTTTCTTTTTTTTTTATTATTATTCATCTCTCCCTTCGCCTCCTCGGCTATGGCTTCCTTCACTCTCCTAAGTCTCCCCCTCTGTCCTCTCTTTCACCCTCTTCGTTACTCCGTGGTCGAGCTCTACGGCTATGGCCGCCTCCTTCTTCCTCGTGGAACTGCACGGCACACTTCATAGGTACGTGACAACCAAATTTGTATCACTCATCTCTCTCTCTCTCTCTCTCTCTCTCTCTCTCTCTCTCTCTCTCTCTCTCTCTCTCTTCGTCGTGGTCTTCTTTGCAGGTGCACGCGGCGGCCTCTTCAACCTCCGGATCCGCTATGGCGGACTTCTTCTCGGATGGTAGCTTCTCCCTGCGACACGACGATGTGCGTGGAATAGCGGGTACCAACTCCGATACCAACGCAATCAGACTCGCTATATTTCACACTTCTCATGCATGCAAACAAGTGCGCAGCAAACTGGCGACAAGCGCCCACTCAAACTCAGAGATATGGTAGTCGAGAACACAATTCAAATACAAGTTCACTTCAATGGCTACGGCGACACAGCGCCCACACAGGATCGCCCTGGATATCCAACACGCGATACACTGTACACACACACACACACACACACTGAACTCTATCTACAGCTATGGCGGCTATGGCCGCTGCTAACCTATCGCTATGGCTAAGCCCCTTCTCTCTCGCYCACTCCGTCTTCGGGCTCACTGCAGACCACCTCGCACAAGTCGCTTATGGCAGCGCTTCCTCATGGCTCACACAAGAATAATTGAATGGCTGGACGCTGCCCTTTTATTTATACTTTTGTAGCTCGTTGGTCTGGCCCTTTACCTGGCCCATGGTGCATAGAGTCCCATGCGGTACTTGGTTGACTGGACTAGGACTGACTGGGACCAGTACTGCTGACTGCATGGGCTTGCACTGCCAACTCGATGCAGTCGCATTGCCGACGTATCGTAGTGGGGCTCACCGCTTGCCCACTTGCCTTTGTCTAAACGTGAGCAAGTTCGAAAGGCCACTACTGGGACCTTCCGGAAGGTCGTGGACCTGGCCTTTTGCTACTGTAGCAGCTACGAACTTGACCCTTCAGGACTGTAGCAGCTACGACTTCCAGACTTTACTAAGACTCCTACCTGACAGGTCTACAGATCGAATCCCTGCTACCTATGGACCCTACGACTGTCTACCAACTGTTACTAATACACAGGTCACAGGTTCAACTCTCAGGGCCGACACTGATACTGTACACAGGTAAGGTGAGGACTGGGCATTGAGCCCTGGGATCTGCATCGGCTACTGCGAACAGGTGAATACCGTTTCACAACTTGCTTTAAAAAAAAAAAAAAAAAAAAAAAAGTAACTGCTCTGCCAGCTCAGCTAGGCGGATTCAGCATTTGTGTAGGGATGTGGTTTCCACGTTCTAGCAACGGACGCATGACCCAAAGAAACATCTGGTAGGCGGTGGAGCGACGCCTCGAGATACCGATCCGTCCTTTTGTCACACACATTGCTGGTACCGGTACCACTTCCTGCGCACTTCAATTTGTTGTCACTGTCGATTCCAGTGAAACAGTTTTCACCTATTAGCAGTAGCGAATGCAGATCCCAAGGCTCGATCCCCAGTCATCACTTTACATGTGTACAGTACCTGTGTCGACCCTGAGAGTTGAACCCGTGACCTGTGTGTGTTTGCAGAAGTGGTAGTTTGTTTTAGGGTCTGTAGGTGTAGGGGTTTGATCTGTAGATCTGTCGGGTAGAAGTCTTAGGGAGTTCTAGAAGTCGTAGCTGTAGAACTTCTGAAGGGTCAAGGTCGTAGCTGCTACAGTCCTGAAAGGTCAAGGTCGTAGCTGCTACAGTGTTCGAAAGGCCAGGACCCAGACTTCTGGAAGGTCCTAGTAGTGGCCTTTCGAAGTTGCTCACGTATAGACAGAGGCAAGTGGGCAAGTGGTGGAGTCTACCCGTGCTGAGTCAGCAGTCCCAGTCCCAGTCAGTCCTAGTCCAATCAAGCGAGTACCGTATGGGACTGTGTGCACTACGGACATGGGAAAGGGCCAGACCAACGAGCTACAGAAGTATAAATCAAAGGGCAGCGCCCAGCCATTCATTCATTCCTGCGTGAGCCATGCGGAAGCGCTGCCACAACGACTTGTGCGAGGTGGTCTGCAGTGAGCCTGAAGAGGAAGTGGGCGAGAAGGAGAGTTAGCCATAGCGATAGGGTAGCAGTGGCCATAGCCGCCAGAGCTATAGATAGGGTGTAGCGTTTATACATGTGTGTGTGTGTGTACAGTGTGTGGCGTGTGGGATATCCAGGGTGATCCTATGTGTGAACAGCACCGTGGAGTGAGTGACGAACAGAGATCTGTACAGGCGCTGATGCGCCATAGCCAACGAAAGTGAGATTATAACTGAACTGTGTTCCTGGTTACCATATCTCTGAGTTTGAGTGGGCGCTTGTCGCTAGTTTGCTGCGCAACCTGTTTTCATGCATGTGTGTGAAAGAAAGTGAGTCTGATTGCAATTGGTATCGGAGCTGGTACCGGCTATTCCACGCGCGTCCGTCGTGTGCCACAGGGAGAGCTACGCGCCATAGTCGAAGTCGCCATCGGAGAGGAAGTCCGCCATAGCGGACCCGGAGGTTGAAGAAGCCGCCGCGCGCAACTGCAAAGAAGGCCATGACGAAGAGGAGAGAGAGAGAGAGAGAGAGAGAGAGAGAGAGAGAGAGAGAGAGAGAGAGAGAGAGAGAGAGAGAGAGAGAGACAAGATTGGTTTACCGCGTACCTGCATTGAAGACATCGCTACGGCGAGAGAGAGAGAGAGAGAGAGAAAGAGAGAGAGAGAGAGAGAGAGGTTGAGCGATACAAGATTGGTTTACCACGTCCCTGCGTTGAAGACATCGCTACGGCGAGAGAGAGAGAGAGAGATTAGCGAGACAAGATTGGCTGTCACGTACATGTGAAGAGCGTCGTGCAGTCCCACAAAGAAGAAGGAGGCGGCCATAGCCGCGGAGCTCCACCACAGAGTAACGAAGGGGGTGAAAGAGAGGACAGAGGGGGAGATTGAGAAGAGTGAAGGAAGCCATAGCCGAGGAGGTGAAGGGAGAGACGAAMAAAAAAAAAAAAAAAAAGAGAACGAGAAGATATCTGGGGTTAAGAAGAAGGAGGCGAGGTAGAGAGAAGGAAGGAGAAGGGTGGCGACGAAGGAGAAGCTTGCCGCCATAGCCGGAGTTGACCGGGCGTTTACCAGAGTTGACCACAAGTTGACCAGGGGTTGACTGCAGCGTTGACCAAGGCATTGACCAAGACTATTGACCACGATTTTGACCAAGCTCGAGCCGGTATATTCTCGCCCTATGGATGTGCACACACCCTATGGTACTTGCTGAGTCAAGTATGTTTGTCCCTTCTTTCTGCATTGAGTCTCTTTTGTCCAGGTGATAGGACTCTGTGGATGAAGGATAGGGCCTTGTTGACCACACCCACACGGGTTGAGTAGGGCTAAAGGCCGTATCTGACGACTCGACTGTCCCGGAGGACACGAACCCTCCCAAGGACCGGTACTGACCGGCGGGCTGCTCGGTGTGGCACGGTAGGCCCAAAATCCGAGCTGTGGGCTGCACAACAGGCCGTCTAAGTCTTGAGAGGACCTGCTGATCGCGCCGTCCTGTCTGCGACGTTAAAGAATTTTTGAGGAGTTACGAGGGATCTCCTTAAATGCCTCCTGATCAGCAACAGGTCCTATAGTGACAGCCTTAGAGTAGGTCTAGGCTAGAGACCCTAGTTGACAGGATCCTGTCCGGATTTTGTAAGTCCTTAGATCGAGTCGGTAGGTTTTGTCAGTCAGGGGTAGAGTCTAAGTGGTGAGGAGTGGAACCGTTGTCTGGTTGTACACCTAACACCATGGTTGACACCCGTGGAGGGAAGAGCACTACCCCTTACACCCAGGCCCAAGAGGAGCGTGCCGCCGCCATTCTGAAAGAGAGAAAGGAGATGAAGGAGAAAAAGGAGCTCCTCAAACAGGTGAAGTTAAAGGCAATCGCAGAGGAGGAAGAGGCGAAGAGGAAGAAGTTGGAAGAAGAGATGATAAGATTACAAAAGGAGGAGGAAGAGAAGAGAAAGGTTGTTGAAGAGAAAGGTTGTTGAAGAAGCAGCAGCAGAAGAGGAGGCGGTAGAAGAAGTACCCCTCGACAGGAGACGCAAGGAAGAACGAGGGGAAAGCAGTGGCACGAAGGGAGAGGATGCATGGATGGAGAAGAAGATTAGCGAGTGGGTAGCTAACTTATCGTTGGGAGAGGATGAGGAGGCACAATTGTACGTGCCTCACGAGGAAAGAGAAGCATTTGCTAGGGAGTTGAAAGCGATGGAGGACCCCCTGGACCGCCAGACAACAAAAGATGAAAAGAAGTTGGGAGTGGAAGTTGCGTCCGAGGAGGGAGAAGAAGAGAAGGAGGG